AAGACTGGTGTCACAGCCTTTACCTAATCTTGAAAGTGGTGTCTCATCACTTGTCATTGAAAGGCCCAGACCTCACTCCCTCACTCTAGGAGTGGGGATCTTTGGGAGCCATTATAGAGGCTGCCTACCCCATACCCAGACTGTCTGTCTACATCTCTGTGTGTGGAATCACAGTCCTTTTCCCTGAGCCTTTGGAACCTTTAGAATAATCCTTGCTTTTGCCCTTTCCCCACCTCCCCAGTCTTATTTGATCTCCTAATCAAAACAAATTATATCTTCATACTCTCTTTAAAGTATTTATTCCTCTCAATTCTCATTTCTCTGTAAGAATATCAGCTGTGTGTGTGTGTGTGTGTGTGTGTGTGTGTGTGTGCGCGCTTATTATATGCCATCAAGGTGTAAGCACCATAAGGGAAGGGGCTTTAGTGTGTCCTCTCTACTGATCTTTTTCCAGTTCCTAGGCCAGTATCTAAGACATAGTAGACATTCCAAAATATTGTTAAGTAAATGAAGGATTGAGTTCCAGACACACTTTTGGACTGTTTTCATACATTAGTTTTCAGTCCTCAGAACCCTATGAATTCAGCGTTTTCACCATTTTATAGATGAGGAACTGAGGTGTGGAGGTGAAATAATTTGCATGAGTTATGCAGGGAGTAAGAACTATAAGTAACATTTTAAAGGGCTTAATAAACTGTAAAACACTCTACCAATGTGAGTTGTTATCATTATTATCTTTTGCTCTTGTTTGGAGCCTCTTCGTCTTCCTAGCCTTCTCCCAGTTCACTCATGCTTCATATGGAGACAGGAGGAAGCACAATTCCAAGAAAAGAAGGGAAAGTAATAATATTAAATGGCTGCCAAGGGATCTGAGCAATGGATTCAACAGGCTAGATCTGTCCAGCTCACCAGGGTGGCCATTCCCTAACCGGGATGCTGGGCCCACCACATGCTCCTTTACAGCATGAGACAAGCGATGACACAATTTAGTGTTGGTGTTCTGCCTCATCGAAGAGATGGCATTGTCATTATTCATTTTGGAGAACAGCCTGCAGTGCAGAAAGGAATCATGTCAGACAGCAAAGGAGAGTCTTTCAACATAGTATTCCATCCTGAGGGAGAGAGAGAGAGAAAAGAACCAGAACAAGTGGGCGATACTGACTTTAGATTCCACCCCGCAGCAGCATCACTCAGGCTGATCCTGAACTGTCGTCCTCCACCCTGTGAAGAAGTAATCAGAAAGTGATACTTTACACTAACTGAATGATTTCCAATTTGCAAAGCACTTTTATACATATTTTATCTCATAATCTCTGTAATCATGAAGAAGGCAGGGTAGCTATAATTATTTCCATTTTACAGATTAGGATTCTGGGGCTTTTCAACTTTGAGATTTATTCAGAGGCCTGGTTGATGTGAAGTCAAATGTATTTAGTGCCTCTTTCCAGATAATTTGCATATATTATTTTATGAGCTGCTCACCATAAAACTGTCAGGCATTATTGTTATCCCTGTCTTACAGACATAGGAGTTAGAGCCTAAAGAAATAAAAGGTGTCTTGCTTAAGGTCACGCCACCAGTATATGGTAGAGCTAGGTTTGGAACCAGGTATTTTAATTCCCTATCCCCAACCTTCTTTCCAGTAAGCAAATGGTATATTTAGAGAGAGTAGGCTTGGAGTTCTAAGTCTGGTGACCTAAAAGAGAGAGGAGAAGAAAAGAGAAAATGAAGAGGTCACGGAGGAGTAGAGAGAAGGAAATAGTATGAGGAAGGGAAAGGGGAATCATTTAGGAATATCATTTAAGAATGCATTGGGATCTCCAAAAGGAATTCTTCATTTTGGATTTAAGCTCTTAAGAGGGGATAGGATGATACCTCCAGTTAAAGCTTGAAGGAAGTCAACTTGTTCTATTGCTTAGAGCCCTGAGAGATGACCCTCGGAGGAATCTCAGCCCCAGAGTGTCCCCATGGAACACGAGAACACGAGAACAATTGCACCAAGAGTCCCTGAAATATGCAAGATGAATTGTACGGTGGGTTAATTGTCCACATAGCTAAAGAAGGTGAAGGGATGGGCAGTTACAGTTCATAGCACCCATGTTTACCAAATAATTTAGTGCCTAACTGTCCTCTTGCATTATCCCTTCAACTTTTTTCTTTTTGTTTAAAGCCAGTCCAAGAAAAGCCTGAAAGGAGAAACTTCCTTTTGTTTTCAGACATGTTAACGTCCAGGGAAGACCAGGAGAACTTGTTCAGACTCCTACAGCTCTAGACTCTAAGTGTGAAAATAAAGCAGCAGGTCTAAATATAATCCTGTGCTCGAAGCTAAGCAAAGGCCAGAGGTAAGCTTTTATGGTCAGATCCCTTGGTGCACTACAGCTCAAAACCATCTCAGTGGGTAATTCTAAATTCTCAAAAAATATTTTCTGCAAGCTAGAAAGTGAGTCTAAGACATTGTCGCTTAAACATATAATGATGGAAGAATGTTTAAGCTACCTGGCATGTGTAGTTGAGCCTTCAACTGGCTCAGCTTTTCTCACTGAGGGACCCCTAAAGACTCTGCCTTTGCCTTAATTCACTGTCATGGCCCCTGGGAATGAAAGATGAGGAAATTGAGTTGTGGGGCCATTTAACTGCTCAGCCACACAGCAAGTCCCCAGGAGAGCCAAGGTTAGACCTCCCCTCCCCACCTCACACTCCCAGCTACACCCTCCATCTGAAGCTCAGCTTTACTCACCCAGAAGGGGAAATTTAAATTCAGCCTTTACTTGAATCTCTCTCTTGAACCACCATTTTATTTATTACTTCTTTTGTTTTTCTGGACAGTTATCTGACCAGTAAAGGTTTTAGCCGCTTCTTGACCATCAGTATCATGCTAGGTGCTGGTTCAGGGCTTGGAGTGTGTAATGGGTTGAGTTTTGTCCCCTGACCCCAAATCCGTATGTTGTAGTTCTAACCCCCAGTGTCTCAGAATGTGACCACATGGAGATAGGTTCTTAAATAGGTGATTAAGTTAAAAATAGGTCATTAGGTTTGGTCCTAATCCAGTGTGACTGATGTCCTTATAAGAAGAGACACAGACCTATGGAGAGGGAAGACAATGTCAAGATATAGGGAGAAGACAGCCATCTATTAAGCCAGGGAGAGAGGCCTCAGAGGAAACCATCCCTGCTGGCATCTTGATCTCAGACTTCAGACCTCCAGAAATGTGAGAAAATAAATTTCTGTCATTTAAGCCACTCAGTGTCTGGTACTTTTTAATGGTAGTCCTAGGAGATTAATGTAAAGGGGTGAGATATTAAAGTCTGAGCAGGAAATGTACATGGGAAGGAAGCATTGTCCGCATAACCCAGAATGAATGAAAATATAATTTTTCAGTGTTATTTGGGCCCAAAGTTTTAAGGGAGTGAAAGCTTTGGCTAAATGTGTGAAGAATTGTCCCCTTAATCAACATTTTAGTATTTAATAAGGTTAGAAAGAAACTTTCACACAGATTTGAAGAAAAAAGAAGTCACAAAGGTGGTAGTGGTGTTTGAAACTTAGGAAGGATATTTAGATGGGTCCTGTATTATGTACAGCTTTAATATTCTTATTAGTTTAATATTAGTTCTTAGGTTTGTATAGGAAAGATAATATAACACAGTGGTTAAAAGCTTGAGCTCTCAAATAAACAAACCTGCATTAATTCCTGCTGTCTGTACTTGGTGAATTTCTCAAATTCCATTTCCTCACCTATAATTGGAGATAAAATAGGTACTATATTATGGGGAATATATGTGAAGCACTTAAAGTACCTGGAAAGTAGTATTGAGTGAGTAGTATTAGTGAGTATTAGTATTTTTGAGCTTCCACTGATAGCAGTTGGTACCTATGTCAGTAAAGGAATAAATTCATTTGTATTTACTACCTCATGGGAAGAATGACCCCAAATAGGTGGAAGAGGTCTATGGAGGAGTGGGATTATTTGGTAGCCATTTTACCAGTGTGCCCATGGTGGTAGTGCCGAAGGGGTGTGTGTGTATGTGTGTGTGTGTGTGTGTGTGTGTGTGTATTGGGGATGGGGGGATGCAGTGATTATGGATGAATGATATGCACATAAATCTTACAGCTTTTTAGTAGAGAGCCTGTTGGCATTCCTCCCTTCTCTTTTGCTGGCTGCTTCCTTAAGTCACAGCCTAGCATACTGGTAATAAGTGGCCCCTCAATGCCCCATGATAATTGTCTTAACTGATCATGTTCTAAGAAAGGCTTGCTAAGTCTGTTCATGAAGCCATTTCTAATAATAAAAGCCCAAATACCAGCACCTTACTCTTCCACCTAAATGAGTTTGCTTTTTAATTCACCAAACAACTCCATGTCTGTTTAGATGGGAAATGAAGAGAGGGCAGGGCCCAGAGCCCAGATTGTTTTACTTGGTGCACAACCCTGGGGTGGTGGATCACCAGGATTGGAAAGTGGATTGTTGAGGAAGTATGGAAGAGCTTCTAGGTAAATGCATGAGAGAAACCTAGGATGAGGAGAGGACAAAACACCAAAAATTATATGGTTTTTAAAAAATTTATTTTAAAATTGAGGTATAATTAACATACAATGTTACGTTAGTTTCAGGTTACAACTTAGCAATTTGACATTTATATACATTACAAAAATGCTCTCCACGATAAGTGTAGTTACCATCTTTCGCTGTTACAGTATTGTTGACTATATTCCCTGTGCTGTACTTTTCATCTCTGTGATTTATTTACTTTATATCTGGAAGTTTGTATCTCTTAATCTCCTTTTAAATTTTTTTTTCAACGTTTTTATTTATTTTTGGGACAGAGAGAGACAGAGCATGAACGGGGGAGGGGCAGAGAGAGAGGGAGACACAGAATCGGAAACAGGCTCCAGGCTCCGAGCCATCAGCCCAGAGCCTGACGCGGGGCTCGAACTCATGGACCGTGAGATCGTGACCTGGCTGAAGTCGGACGCTTAACCGAATGCGCCACCCAGGCGCCCCTCTTAATCTCCTTTTAAAAAATCTTCTTTATCTGTACTTTTATCACTTGCATTAGGCTGGTCTTCTTGAGATGGATGAAGGTTCAAGGTGCTGATCTAGAGATAGAAAGGTTAGAGATAAATGGATTGCAGAGTGTATGAAAATGTTAACATAATTTAATCTTGTTCATACCCCTTCCATTGTCAATACTTGTTAGCTACCTGATCTTAACAGTAATTCTACTCTCTTCCTTCCCTCCTATGCCTTGCCTTCATTCCCTTCCCTTCCCTTGTCTTCCCTTTCCTTCCTATAAATCATTCAAATAAAAAAATCTCATCCTTGCTTCTAATTTCCTTACCTCTCTCATGCAATAAGTCATAAGATTCATTAGAGTCTCTAATATAGATATTGACTATGTCATAGCCAATTCAACCAGTGACCTTGGCACTGCAGTTTTTCATCCTCTAAAACTCATCTTTAATTATAATACCCCCACTTAAAATATTCAATGAGCGCTCAACACCTAGAAGATAAAATATGACCTCTTTATATTGACCTCAAAAGTTCAAAATTTAGTTCTCACTTGACTTTTCTGATGCCAAGAAGCTAATACTGGGGTTCTGAATTCCTGAACTCACCAAGTACCTTTGTACTTTCGTGTCTTTGTCCAAGTTACAGTGGTGTCTATTAATGCCCTTTCTGTCTTGTTACGTTTCTCCATTTTCTCAAAGTATGAAACCTCCACTAAAAATGGTGGTGAAACCAAGAAATAAAAGCCCACAGTGCTGAATTTATTGCTTACTTAAGACAGGAGGTACGTTTTTCAGTCGAAGTTTCTTTAAGCAGGAAAGACTGTTGATCATGTATTAGGACTCAAAGGCATGGAGTTCAGAGATTGATGGAAGTTTAGAGTTGTAAATAAGTTATTATCAATGGTTGAAGTGTGATTGTGTGGGGAAGACTTATTGATTGTATACTTCCAGAAGCAGGTCATTGGAATGAGCCCATTCCTGATCGGCTGACCTTCAGGAGCAGGTAGTTTTCAATAATTGGTTGGCTTGCAGAAGTATGTTCACAAAGACAAGTTGACTTTGATTTGAGTAAATACGTTTGAAACCAATTCTGATGGCTCCATAGCTACAGAATTCTTATTTATTGATTAAACAGTTTTAAAACTGATTCTGGTGTCTACTTCCATCCTTGCTGTAAGAACAATTGGTCTTCTAGGAGTATGGAAATTAATTTTTTTTTCAATCTTCCTTTAGGTTCTCTTCTAGCTAAAGCTTCAAGAATGACATAAGCATTCTTCATATTTCCACTATCTCTTTGAAGATGAGGTTTTGTTTGTAGATATCTGAATTTCAGTTGAGTGTTGACAAGCATGATTTTATCTTGCGCTCATTTTTTTTTTTTGTTGTTGTTGTTGTTATTTGGTCAATCATCTGCTGGAAAAGTGGCTGCATGGAAACATTTAAGACTTGAAAACATATTAAACAATTTGTGTGACAAATATAATTAAAGTATTCTAAGAAGGAACCAATAGTCACTTTAAATAATAAACACGACTTCTCAGGTTTGACCAAAAAAACAATCCCATTGACTCTTCGGGTCTTCCCTAGATGGCCAGGTTGCATTTTATTTTATTTTATTTTATTTTATTTTATTTTATTTTTTATTTTAGAGAGAGAGACAGAGTGTGAGTGGGGGAGAGGGACAGAGAGAGAGAGAGAGAGAGAGAGACAGAGAGAAAGAGAGAGGGAGGGAGAGAGAGACAGAGAATCCAAAACAGGTCCCACACTCAGTGCGGAGCCTGACATGGGGCTCAATCCCATGGCCCTGGGATCATGACCTAAGCTGAAATCAAGAGTTGGCTGCTCAACTGACTGAGCCACCCAGGCGCCCCACCTTTTATTTTAGCTTAGATACAGATTGCCCATGTTGTTAATCCAGGTACAATATGAAGTATTAGAAACGGGGAAGATTTCCCCTGATTTTCCAGAAGAAAATCTAAGACTATTTTCTTTTCCATAGTTACTTGGGCAAAGGAGTTTAAAAAGGTTACTTGTATACCCAGGGTAAAAGCTATGTTATTTACCACGGCAGCCAAAGTAAGGAACTTATTTTTGATGACCGTATCAAGTTTTTCAGCTTCTATGGTAAGATCATTAACCTTTGGAGTCTGTTTTACCAATTACTGTTTATTTTCTTGGGAAGAGTTTTATCCATACAGACTTTTTGTAGGAAACATTTAGCGTGTTAGGGAATTATACACTAGAAATGATCTACAAGTGCTGCAGAACAATTAGTCTTGGTTCTGTGTTGGCATTGAAGATACTGATTTTACCATAGGAAAAGGAACTCAGGTACTTTATGAGATACAGTTAACCTCAGTGGAACTTCAGTATATTATCTCTAGATGTTATCATGACAGCAGTAATAGTTGCATCCTGATAATATCTGTATCATCTATTGCAAGGACATTTTACTTCATTTATATATTATCTATAACTTGTATCATTACTGGCAAAGTCAGTGTAACATGTCTTTATACTGTTTTAACAGATTGGCTGCACTACAAATACCCAAATTAGCTAAATTATAATTAGACTAATGGTTATCTCTAATAAAGCCTAGACTTAACCAAGTTTATTAATAAGAAAATCACGATGGGCTATTAGAAACTAGTAAAAAGGAATGATAACACCCAAAGGAATGTGAACAAAAACATTCACATTACTGTTTGGAAATCAGAGCTTTCAAGTGTCTAGACCAGCAGTTTACAAATTATAACCTGTGGGCCAAATCTTGCTTGCTGTCTGTGTTTATAAATAAAGTTTTATTGGCACACAGCCATGCTCATTTTGATTATTTGTAGTCTATAACAGCGTTTGCACTACAGTGGCAGAGTTGAACCATTCTGTTAGAGACCCTCTGGACCAAAAGAGCTTACAAAATTTACTATTTGGTCCTTTATAAAAAATTTTTGCTGACTAAACTAATTGTTCCAATGGTCTTGGGTGGAAGCTGTCTACAACTTCCAAATATATTGGGTTCGGTTAGTAGTCAACTTACATGGACCATTTGACTCTGAAGTTTCCCCATGGAACCTCAATTTAAGGTCTCCAATTCTTCCAAATGCTGAGTTTTTTCTCCTATGGGTTAGGACAGTGCCTGCTACATTGAAAGCATGTGATAGATGTTGTCAAAGTGGCTTTAAGTGCTTGCTGTGCACCAGACATTGATCTCAGTGCTGTCAGAATACAGGGGTGATGCAAACAGAGAGCTTTTATCCAGTAATTGTATGGGACACAAGTATAAAAATAGCTCTAATGTAAGATAGAAAGCTGTAAGTCTCATAAGAGAGTTATAGATCAAGGGCTATGAAGATTCAGGAAACAGGAAGCATTTGAAATAGGCGTTGAGGAGATGAGGAAGAAGGAGACTCCTGGCAAATAAACCATCATGAAGAAAGGCATAGTGGTGCGATATCACAGAGCATGTCTGGGGAGGAGTCAGTAATCTTTGTCTACTAGTAAATAAGGTACCCAGTAGGAAGCAATACAAGATCCAGGGGAAAATGAATTATTTTTTTCTGGGATCAGATTTACACAGCAGTGTGCTGGGGCTGGTTCATGCCTGTTAAATATTCAGGAATCTTTTAAGCTGGCTGTTAAGTCTTTGGTAGCTTAAAATTGGCCATGATGACAGGAAGAGAGCACGAGTGATTGAGGGCAAGGAGAAATAGAAATACTATTTCTACTATTTTTACAATTTCTACTAAGAATTTCTCATGGCACCAGTGTATGGCACAGGTCTAGGCAGAAATTATGTATATAGCTCAAACCCTGGATGAATAGCTTTTTAAAAAACTGTTTAACTGAGAAAGTGTGCTTGGGAAAACCCAAGGAAGGAATATAAGAAATTAATCAACTGTTACCTCTTGTCTGTGGGAGTTAGAGTTGATTTTATATCTCAGCCTTTTATATTGATACACTGGTCTCATGTTTCTTTTTCAAGAAAGGTGCATAATAATATCACCCAGGGTGACTGTGAAAATTAAATGAAATAAATGGTGCTTCCAAACTTTCCTAATGATAATAATCATCTGTGATGTTATAATTCATTAAGGGAGGGAGGGGGGGAGAGAGAGAGAGAGAGAAAGAAAGAGAGAAAGAGAGAATATCACCTGGACAAGCACACAACTTCCTGGGTCTCATCGCAGATCCCTTAATGAGAATGTCCAGGACAGGGGTCAGGGAAGTTGTTTGTTTAACAAGAGCCTCAAGTGATTCTTATTGGGAAAATTTGGGGAAAAAATGAGTTAATATATATGAAAATACCTTACAGTAAAGTGACAAGAACATAATTGGGGGGAAATGTTGAATGAATGAACCACTTATCAGCAAAGCAGTATTCAGCAAACCATTACATGTTCCTTGACTCAATCTTCCTCTTAATGTATTCAGAGGAATTGTATTAATACCTATTACTGCATAGAGCTTGGGAAAGGATTAGAGTCTATCACTGGAAAAGGCCTGGAAGGTAAGTGCTGTGTCAACACCAGCTGTTAGGTTTAATTGGTTCACTGGAAGTAGGCAGGTTGAGAAATATTTGTCTCAGAGGCTACCCTCTTAGAGAGAATTGTGTACAGAGGTTGTAAGCTCTAAAAGACCACATTGTGCTGGGGATATGGGCAGTTAGGGAAGAGGAGAGACCGCAGTAATGCCCAGCAGCTGAATGTCAGAACTTCAGGGGCCAGGCAGTGAAGACGAGAGAGCTATCCCCAATCTGGAGAGCAGTAGGTCCTGTCCCATTGACAAATGCTTGCAGGAAGAAATGCTTGAGTTTTCCAGGTGAAATAATCTAGTCCCCAGGAAGAGGATCATTTTTTATGGCCAGGAACGCCCCACTGACAGTTCTGTCTAGGGAGTCATGAAGAGGGATGAGGCTCAAAGACAGGCACCCCAGGGCCTTTGCCCTTCACCATCAGGAGCACATGATGGAGTCAGCAAAGTTGAACCCCTGCCTGAGTAGGATGAGGACAGCCCACCCCAGGTTCTGCAAGGGTAGAAGGTCTGAAAACATCTGCCAGTGGGGAGGAGGTCTGCTCTGAGCAGGTGCCCATCACCACTGCTTAGGACAGATATTCTCCCTTCTTTCTGCCATCTTCATCCTTCACCCCCCCCCCCCCAATCCAGTTAAGAACCTCTGTCTCTGAATGGTTTCCCTAACCCTTCCTGTTTCAGTTTCCTTCTCTTCCCTGTATTCTGTTTAGTTGTTGGAACATCGCTCAATTTAGTGGCCACAGAACAGTTTAAAAAGCATGGATTTAAAAGTCAAGTTTCTTCTTTCCATGGTTGTTTTATATTTTGAGTATTTCAGCCAAAACAACCTTATTATTTAAAATTTCTTTAATGTTTATTAATTTTTGAGAGAGAGAGAGAGAGAGAGAGAGAGAGAGCATGAGAGCATGAGCAGGAGAAGGGCAGAGAGAGAGAGGGAGACACAGAATCCAAAGCAGGCTCCAGGCTCCAAGCTGTCAGCGCAGAGCCCGACGTGGGGCTTGAGCTCATGAGCCGTGAGATCATGACCTGAGCCAAAGTCGGACACTTAACCGACTGAGCCACCCATGTGCGCCCAAAACCACATTATTATTATTATTATTATTATTATTATTATCCATTTTTTATACAAGATCATGCATGTGTTTTACTTCTTTGGTTACTAATAAATCATTGTATACACAGAAAAATGTTCTTTACTTTCCTCTGGCCCTCTTCTAACGTGGTAGAAGAATAAAACTTATTCTTAATTTTCTATAAAGGGGCACGATATGGGTCACCCGTAAATACCAGATAATTAAAAAATGATATGCTTAAAACTCCAGTTGTTTAGTTCAGTCTGATACCACATTGAATATTTCCCTCAGCTCTCCTACCAGCTAGGAGGTGGAGAATAACTACCAGAAACATGCTGTAGAGTAGTGAGAGTCTGTGACTAAAATGTAAATAGTAGTGTATATTGGCCATGGAAAAGTCACAAAATGAAAAATTTCCTGGGATATCAAGAATTAACAGTACCAGGACATGGTTTCCTCTGGGGAACTTAATGATAATTTTTTAATGTAGGAAGCAATTCCTGTTCAGTAGAAGAAACATTTTACATATTAATTGTGTTTTCCTCAGAGGGTAGAAAAATAGTACAATAAAAATCTTCATTATTCAGAATTTGTGATTATTTGCCTAGGAAATGGTCTAACATTCACCTATGTCTTTACTGTCATTAAAGAATAATTCAAATCAAATGTTCTATGATGGAATTATCACCTGGAAATATTAAAACTGTTGGAGAGAATCTTCTGAAGAAATGTTTAATTGCATTTAAAAGTTTATTGTAGGGGCTCCTGGATGGCTCAGTCAATTAGGCGTCTGACTTTGGCTCAGGTCATGATCTCATGGTTCGTGAATTCGAGCCCCACGTCGGGCTGTGTTCTGACAGCTCAGAGTCTGGAGACTGCTTCAGATTCCGTCTCCCTCTCTCTCTGCCCCTCCCCTGCCCATTCTCTCTCTCTCTCTCTCTCTCTCTCTCTCTCTCTCTCTATCTCTATCTCTCACAAAAAATAAATAAACATTAAAACAGTTTTTACAGTTTATTGAAAATTATCTCTTATGCAAGGATCCTTAGGAGTATAGATAATTGGAGTAATTTTATAAGGGTAATTTATAAGAATATAATTGTGTACTTTTTTTTTTATAATTGTGTTCTTTTAAAAGCTTCTGCAATTTAGCCACCTTGTTACATTAGCCTTCCCCACTTAGCTTGCATTTAAAGTATTTTCCAGCTCTTCCTACACTCAGATCATGGCAAAGTTGAGGTTGACAGAAATCGTGTAACAATAATAATGGTGATGATGCAAATAACTCAGAGACTTTCCCTACCTAACCTAATTGTGTTTGAAAATTATACTAAACTTATTTGCTGATAATCTAATTTCTTTGGGGCCTCTCTGACTTTTCAGGATGGTTGATTTATACGATTAACATAATGACTCTGGGACTGTGAATAGCCTGAAGTCCCTCTTCTCTATAAAGGATTAGTGAGTGCTGTGAGTCCCCCTGGGAGAGATGGTCCAACCCATGTCAGACTGGATGGGAGGTTTGTGATAAAGAGGGTGAAGGAGGAAGGGATGTAGATTTCATCATTACCCAGAATGAGGTTGAGGAGGGATAACTTACAGCATGCAGCTATCCAGAGGCACCAAGATCAAAGGCTGACTGCCATGTATCCAGGAAGCATAGGACTGTGCAGGGAAGAAGGAGGAAAGCAGATGTTAAAATCAAAGAAGTCTGAAAAAGGTTTGGTAAATGGCTCTAAATGGGCCACAGGGGACATCTTCATAGGAAAAGTTGAGAGGAACCCTGACAGGTTCAGGAGATTAGTTGATTTCTTTTTTTCTCATCTCTTCCTTTGCCCCTCAGTCTACTTCTACTCCCCTCTCCCCACAGGACCAACAATTAATTGACTAAACCACAAGAGGTCCCTGGGTAGATGTTGACTTTCATCACTTTACCTTCTTCCTCTATCAGTTGGGCTAAAGATGATGGCTGCAATGAAAAACAGGTCATGCCCTAGCATGAGAGAGGGAAGTAAAACTACTTCTCAAAGGAAGAGAGAAAAATATGGAGCTGGCATTTATAATCTCACAATAGAACCAGGAAACTTCTCTTAATAATCCATAGAACTCTTGTCATCTTTGGGCATCTCTGTTTGAGCCCTCTCAGAGGCTTACCAGGAATCCTAGCGTGGGGAGGGATCTTCTCTTCTAGTATCAGCTGCTCCACCCCTGCCTTCTTGCCCTGCCCCTGAAGATGGGGGCAGTGCAGCATGGTTTTGCAGCCACATACACCTGAGTTGGAATCCCTGCTCTAATACTTGCTAGCTATGTGACCTAGAGCAACTGACTTCACATTTGATTCTCAGTTTTGACACATCTATCTTGCAGTATTGTTATGAGGATAGAAACATTGTATAAAATATTGTAAGTAGACAGACCTTGCTTAGGAAGGTGATATAATGGCTGAAAGCATCAGTTTTTTTTTTTCTTCTGTCACATGGGGATAACCATAGTATTTACCTTATAGGATTACTGAATAGATTACAAGAGATAGAATAACACTGTGCTTATGGGTACAGGCTCTGGGATCAGACTGCAGGTTCAAATCTGGCTCCATTCTCATTGGCTGTGTGACTTTTGCGAGATATTTAATCTCTTCTTGTGTAGGCTTTCCACTCAATAGCATGGGGATAATAATAGCGTTTAATTTATGGGATTATTGCATGGACTAAATTAGGTTTTATCTTTAAAGCAGTAAGAACAATGCCTGGTATATGGTTAACATTATTTAAATGTTAAATTTAAAAATACTGAGATTTGGTATATAAAACATTTTAACACACTATATCTAGTACATAATAGCTAGTGATTATTGTATCATGGCTTTGTTTAGTGTTAAACAACTTCTCTTCACATGAATTTTGAAAAGGTCTACAGTGAAATAAGCCACAGATTTCTAAATCCAAGGGTGGTAGAACATACCTAAAGATCATCTTGTGTGGTGGTTATAAAAAATGACCCTAGGGGCGCCTGGGTGGCGCAGTCGGTTAAGCGTCCGACTTCAGCCAGGTCACGATCTCGCGGTCCGTGAGTTCGAGCCCCGCGTCAGGCTCTGGGCTGATGGCTCAGAGCCTGGAGCCTGTTTCCGATTCTGTGTCTCCCTCTCTCTCTGCCCCTCCCCCGTTCATGCTCTGTCTCTCTCTGTTGCAAAAATAAATAAACGTTGAAAAAAAAATTTATAAAAAATGACCCTAAAATTCTTCAGCTCTTATCAAGAGGTGAGGTTTATATTGCCTCCCAATGAATCTGGGCTCTGTAACTACTTACATATCATGGTGTGGATGTGATGTTTCAACTTCCTGTCTCTTGTGCTGCTTGCTCTTAGAACTCAGCCACTATGCCCATATGAGAGAGACAGATGCCTGTAAGTTGCTGAGCTCCCAGCCCACATGTGAATGAGCTTCCTTGAAAGTGCATCCTTTTTACTCCAGCCCTACCAAGGCTGACCCTACATGAAAGATACTGGCTGTTCCTGCTGAGCCCTGCCCAAATGATAGATTTTGAACAAAACTTTTGTTGTTTTGGGGAGGTTTGTTAGGCAACAATAGATAGGTAGAACATCTAGTTTGTTCCCCACTGATATTTACATCTCCTCTACCCTGTCACTTATCTAAGCTCTGCTTGTCTGTCCAATCATTCAACAAATATTTATTCAGTGTTTATGTATCAGACATTTCCTAGGCACTGGGGAATGCATCAGTGAATAACAAAAAGGTCTTGGCTGCAGAATTCTTCATTCTGTAGAGGGGAGAAAGACAAAAAAGTAAAAGAATAAATTATATAATGTCTGGGATTGCTAGGTACTATGAAGAAAAAGGAGATGGTATAACGAGTGATGAGACGCGTATGTCTTAGGGAAACTTGTTGCCATTTTAGCAAAGGTGTTGGGGAAACACCATCTAATGAGGTGATACTTGAGCACAGATCAGAATGAAATGAGGGAGCTGGTTATATAGATCCCTAGGGGAGGAGAGTTCTAGCAGAAGGACAAACAGTATAAGGTCTGTGGCAGGAGCACACCCACACGTTCAAAAAACGATAAGGAGGCCTTTGAGGTTGGAAAGGAATGTGCAAGGGGCAGAAGGAGCTGAGAGAAAGTGAAGGACTTGGAGGCCACGTGAAGGAAGTTTAATTTGATTCTCAGTGAGATGAAAAGTCATTGGAGAATTTTGATCATTGTATTTTTTTATTGAGGTAAAATTTACATGAAACAAAATGCACACAGTTTGATATGCTTTGACAAATGTATACTCCAGCGTGCATAACCAATCATCACAAAAAGTTATCTTTTGCTCCCTATCCATCAATCCCCCTCCCTGTCTAATAGGAAACCACCATTCTGATTTTCACCACTGTAGGTCACTTTTACTTATTCCGGAACTTAATATAAATGAAATTGTACAAAGCGAAATTGTATAGTGCATACTATTTTTTATCTGCCTTCCTTCACTTAAAAAAATGTTTTTGAGATTCATCCTTGTTGCATGCATCAGTAGATTATTTTTTTATTGCTGATTAGTTCTGTGAAAATATCAAAGTCGGTTTACCCAACTGTGACATTTGGACATTTGGGTTGTTTCCAGTTTTTATCCACTACAAGCAAAACTTCCGTGAACATTACAGCACATATGTCTTTTTGTGGGTATATATTTTCATCTCTTTTGAGAACATGCCTAAGGGTAGGATTGGTGGGCCATAGAGTAAATGTCTGTTTATCTTGATAATAACCCAAACAGTTTTCTCAGCTTTTGGTGTCATTGTGTACTTCCACCAGCAATGTATGAGAGTTCCAGGTGTACATTTGGAGTTACCAGTTCCCTCTCTTTTTCCCTGACTTTTTTTTCCCACAGGAGTCATTAAATCCCCCATTCTTCATGCTTTACCACAGGGCAAGATAGAAAAAGAAGGTTCTGAGAAAAGATGAGAAGTTCCTAAAGAGAATTTCCTTGCTTTTATAGTTGTTTACATGTGAAAAATCTGTCGAACGGAAATAAGTTCTTAATCTTCATTTTTGCAGTGCAGGTCAGTATTTGACAAAGCTTCTTTTGCAAAACAAAATTCTCATGTGTAGCTCTTCTATTTCATTTTTTAGAAAATGTGGGTTATTGTTTTTTGTAGTATAGCTTTTATATATTTCAAAACAATAAGTTATCACTCACTCTTTGTTCTTTTCTATGTCATGTGATCTCAGTTTCTTTTAACATTTTCATGTAAATATGATTTTCCAATCCTTTTAATCATGTGTGTGACTGTTCTCAGAAGTGTTTCTAAATGGACTCCATCTAGTTATTCAGTTGAATCAATAGTTTCAGGTTTCAAAGCAGTGATTTCAACTGTAAATTTACTTGAAGCATCTCTCTGCATTTATGTGTATGTAAGCCAGTGTGAATTGGTTTTCATGGGTTCTACAATATTTCTACTTATACTCTTTCCAAGAATGGAGCTATGAGTGATCTCCAGCAACATGTGTGCTCTATGTATATGTGGAATGTTACATCGTTGAATAAACACAGCTGCACTTATTAAATTGTATGGCCACACAAACACACATACATGAACATACACACACACCCTTGAACACACAAAGCATTCAGGTAATTCACAGGGTGTTTATTTGAAGGGGTTATGGTGTGGCCACTCAGGTATGTTCATTTGCCTGGTTTATTAGGCTCTTGTGCGGTTTGGTGATATAAACGCCCTTCCCTAGGTTTGTAAGTGTCCTTGCTGCAGAAGTTCTTTCCCACTTTCATCCTTTACGTTACCTTCTTTTCTGTTCCAGGAGGTGAAAAAAAAAAAAAATCATCCCATACATGTCCTGTGTAAATGGGCTGGGACAATATCCAATAAATGCAAAACAAGAAAACCATTTTCAGATGTGAGAATACTATATGGGAAGCCGTTTAACAATTTAGGTTCTCGTTTTTGAAAATATTGTATTCAAATTAAGGGAGTAAAGAACTCGTTTGATGTGTTTCCTAAGCCTCTGACCATTTTCCGCTGGGTTAAACACTCATTAAGAGAAGTGATTGAGCTCTTATTATATAAATTCCATTCCAACAAGAAGATTATGTATTTACTCTATTGAGTTATAATTCATCATTTTATGTGTCTGTCTTTCCTAGCTGGTGATAAGTAAGAACCAGTGCCTCATTAATCTATGACATCTCTGAAAAGAAGGTGGGTCCTCGGCACAGAGTAATTCTCCCCTGCCCCCCTCCCAAATGCCATACCGAATGAATGAATTCCACTAGAATCTCAAAGCCAGCCCATGATAGAAGTAGAGGGCAGAAGACTGAACAAAAAGCTTTTGGTCTCTACCAGTCTGATGAAACAGCTCTTGTCAAGGCTACCAATAAGCTCCATCGTATGAAATCCAATGGCAGATTATCAGTGCTATTTTTTTCCAGCTGCTCCTATTATGCTGTGTTGTCACTCTTACCCCACCACCCCATGCCCCACACTATTTAGCCTTCACGTAATAGTCAGGATTTTTCTTCTAAAACACAGAATATGTTGTGCAGTCTTCTGCTAAAAACCTTTCAGAGTCCTCCCAATTCACATAGAATTCAATCCAGAGTTCTTACCATGATCTTTAAGGCTCTACAGTTTTTGCTCCGGAGTGTATTTCTGGCCTCATCTGCTGCTTCTCCATTGTTCACTCTGCTGCAAATGTCCTGGTCTCCTTGCTGTTCCTTGAGCTTGCCAAGCATATGCTTCCCTCAGCGCTGTGCACATGCTCGTTTCCTGTAATTTTCTTTTCTCAGAATCTACATGACTTACGCCCTACTTCACTCAGTGTTATATTGTCCTTCTGTGACAATTCTGTCTAAAATAACCTCATTCTCTATCTAGGTCATTGCTTTATTTTCATAATACATACCATTACCCTCTATTAAATATCTTGATGTTTGTTTTTTTGTTTTTCATCTTTTTACTAGAATGTAACTTCTTGGTTTCAGGGACTTGGTCAGCCTTATTCACTGCGGTTTCCTGGGAGCCTAGAACAGTGTCTGGCAGATTGGAGACACTCATAAAGGTGTGAGTTTTTCATATTCACACATATCCACTCATAAATGAATGAAATAGAAGTCTATTGTCCACTTATTTTCTTGAATATGGTTTAAGTGATTCTTCAAAGCCTCAAGAAGTGGCTTCTCCCTATATCTCTTAGTACACAGTGCTGACTTTTGGGAAGGAAGTGGGCAAAGATATGGAATCAAGAATCTTCCTGGAAGGAGAAGAAATAGATGCCTTTGAGGTTCGGTGTTACTATTAGGAATAACCTGATTAGATGGGAGGTGGGAGGGAGGGGAGGGTGGGTGATGGGTATTGAAGAGGGTATCTTTTGGGATGAGCACTGGGTGTTGTATGGAAACCAATTTGACAATAAATTTCATATATTTAAAAAAAAAGGGAATAACCTGATTAAAAGTCACTGGAAGAAAAATGCATCAAGGGCCCCAAAAATAAATTCATAAGGAGAAAAGGAAATTTCTGACTTTTGGTGGGGTTTTTGGAAGAGAGTTGGTAAAAGCCCAATTTGTGGCTACAGCTAGAAGCTTTCCGAGGCTCAGCTACCCTTGCCCAACTGACCTGCTTCAGAAAGAATGGTCAGGCTTAGGCATGTAAGCTAAACATAGCCATAACTTTATGAGTCCTGAGCACATTACACTGCCTGACCAGTGAAGGGGATAGCCATGAATAAAAACTCATCAGACTGGGGAGGCTGGGGGTTTCAGTCGGTTGAGTGTCCGACTCTTGGTTTCGACTCAGTCATGATCTCACGGTTTGTGAGTTTGAGCCCCACATCAGGCTTTATGCTGACCACTTGGAGCCTGCTTTGGATTTCTCTGTCTCTCCCTCTCTCTGCCCCTCCCCAGCTTGCGCTTGTGCTCTTCTCTCTTTCTCTCTCAAAAAAAAAAAAAAAAGATAAACATAAAAAATATTTTTAAAAACCATCATAAGATTAAGTAGTAGCAGCAGAAACAATGGCAACTATACATGCTAGCCATCCAGTCCTTTCTCTGTCTTGGCATTTGGAAGCAGGATTTACTCCTTTGAAATAAATAAGTACCCAGGTTTCTTAGAAAATGTGTGGGTGAGACCTTAAAATACTATGGGTGCATTTCTTTGTTTTTCTTTCCCAAAAAGCTTAACCCAGAGGTAATGCCCAAATATTGGAATCAGTTAAAACATCAGTGCATTAAATAACTTTTAAAGAGTTACTGTAGTATCTGTTTTCTTTTTATATCTTATTCTTTGGGCATTTCAATCTATAAGTCAATTAAATCCTTTTGGAAGTTAGTGGGACACAAAATGCAAATACATGTACTTGATTATTTAGATGACCATCTGACCTTATGATTTTATGATTTTTCTCTAAGTCAAATGGGAAGTCAGGGTGAGAGATAGAAATCAGATTTTGTGTGTGCATTTCATGTCTTTTCCTGGATTTTCACATGGAATTCTAAATCTGTATAACATTCACAAATATCTGTTAAATACAAAACATTTTATTATACCCTAACAAAAGGCTATTTAGAGATGTGTAGTATCTCTGTTAATGCAGCATAACACCTATTGCAAGAGAAGCCTTGTATATTGTTAGGAATAAATCTTATAGTCTTGATTTCATAATTTCACAGGCATAAAGAAAAATGGTTTTTAATATATTTTTTATTTATATTATTTATTTATATTATTATTTTATTTATATTATTTTATTTATATTATTTTATTTATTTATATTGAGTGGAGATCACTCAAAGGCCCATTAAGACTGGGAATGTCAGCCTCCAAGCATCAGATGAGAATGAAAAGTCCCCATACAAACAATAAGGCCATGCTTGTGCATTGCAAGAAGATCCCCCATGGAATAGTTGATTCAGAACTCTGACCATATTCTTGATAGATTGGTGGTCATTTGGTGGCACATGATAATCCATGGGATCTTCCAAACCTCCAGAATAACCATGTTGTCTAAAATGTCATTAGTTTTTGCTGTTGTTATCTAGTTTGAATGAAGCAAAGGTATACTGTGCTTTAGGTAATGATAAAGTAAAATAAATGTAAGTTTTGATATGAATACAAACTAAAGCAAAAAGAAGGATATCGTCATAAACCTGCATTTATTCATATGAGTTCTGAATAAAAAGATAGATGACAGTATTGGGAGATAAAATGTTGAATAAAGAGTAAAAGAGGGGCGCCTGGGTGGCTCAGTCAGTTGAGCATTTGACTTCAGCTCAGGTCATGATCTCACCGCTTGTGGGTTCCAGCCCTGTGTCGGGCTCTGTGCTGACAGCTCAGAGCCTGGAGCCTGTTTCAGATTCTGTGTCTCCCTCTCTCTCTCTCTGTTCCCCTCTCCCACTCACACTCTGTCTCTCTCAAAAATAAATATTAAAAATAAAAAAAAAACATTTAAAAAATTTTTAAAGAGTCTCTTATGGTTTGCTTCCTGTTTTTATCTCATTTTTCCTTCCCTTCCCCTATGTTCATCTGTTGTTTCTCAAATTCCACATATGAATGAAATCATATGATATCTGTCTTTCTCTGACTTATTTCACTTAGCATACTATCCTTTAGTTCCATCCACACAGTCGCAAATGGCAAATGGCAAGTGACAGCTTGGAGCCTGGATCCTGCTTCAGATTCTGTGTCTCCCTCTCTCTCTGTTCATGCTCTGTCTCTGTCTCTGTCTCTGTCTCTCTCTGTCTCTCTCTCTTTCTCTCTGCATCTCTCTCTCTCTCTCTCTGTCTCTCTCAAGAATGAATAAAACATTAAAAATTTTTAAAATAAAAGAGTAAAAGAGAGATAGGAAAAGCATACAGTGTAGTGTGTTCCAGAAAAACGCTGCTATTAATAATAATAAAGAACAGTTTGCTTAAGACCTTAATCAGTTGCATCCCCTTGAAGTAGTATTCCAATTATGATTCTGTTTTTTCCCAGACTCATGAAATCTACCTCCATCTCTGGTTTAATGTCTCCTTCCTGATATTTGCCTGTTTCTAATAAACTTTATTGAGTAACTATCTCTTTTAATTCCCTTTGTAAAGTTCTAAAAAATGAATTGTTGCTTCAATAATCAGCAACAGTAATCAGTGACAGCAATAATCAGCAGACCATTTTGTTGTGTCCTAAATACAGAAATCAAGAGGAAATGTATTCAGTGTTTTTTTTCAAGAAATGTAGTTAATTAAATAAATTGGATTAATTATACAAACAATATATGGAATAATTCTCTAACCACCCCAAACTTTTCAGTTAGTAATTCATTAATTCACTTGACTATTTTTGAGAATCTGCTCAATGGTAATTCCAGTGTTGAGTTTGGAAGGGTACCAACGATGATCTCTGTCCAATGGCCTTGTGTGTAATGTGTGAGGCAGACCGATCAGTCATTAAGGAAAAGTAGTAGTAGAAGGGCATTTTCACTTTCACCACCTTTTACATTAGTATCAATTTTATTAGAAAATGGGGAAAACTTGTTTTTTAATCAACTAGTTGATTGACTTGACCTGTGAATTCAATCAAAATCATTAAGCACGTAAACAGCTTTAGAGAGAGCCATACTTAAATGTTTTTGTAGTTCCTACTATGTTAAATTTACAACTGTTACCAGTTAAACTTTCTTTCAAATCAGTTATTGAGTAAATAATACTTAACAGGTACTGAACATGTACTGAATCAATGAATAATTATTTCATTCAATAATTCATTGAAAAATGATTCTGAAATAATCGATTTCATTCCTTCTATCATTGTATGTACATATGAATCATCTGCTAATCTTTTATTATTTTTTTAATTTTTAAAATTTGTTTATTCAAATTCAAGTTAGTTAACATACGGTGTAGTATTGGTTTTAGAAGTAGAACCCAGTAATTCATCACTTACATATAACACCCAGTGCTCATCCCAACAAATCCGCTCGTTAATGCCCATCACCCATTTAGCCCATGATCCCACCCACCTCCCCTCCAGCAACCCTCAGTCTGTTCTTTGTATTTAAGAGTCTCTTATGGTTTGCCTCCTTCTCTGTTTTTATCTTACTTTTCCTTCCCTTCCCCTATTATCTGTTGTGTTTCTCAAATTCCACATGAGTGAAATCATATGATATTTGTCTTTCTCTGCCTGACTTACTTTGTTTAGCATAATACACTCTAGTTCCATCCACACTGTTGCAAATCGCAAGATTTCATTATTCTTGATCACCCAGTAGTATTCCATCATATATATATATATACCACATCTTCTTTATCCATTCTTCAGTCAGTGGATATTTGGGCTCTTTCCATAATTTGGCTATTTTTTTTTTTTAGCTATTGTTAATAGGGCTGCTGTAAACATTGGGGTGCATGTGCCTCTTTGAATCAGCATTTTTTTTATCCTTTTTATAAATACCTAGTAGTGCAATTGCTAGGGTCATAGGATAGTTCTATTTTTAATTTTTTGAGGACTCTCCATACTGTTTTCCATAGTGGCTGCACCAGTTTGCATTCCCATCAGCAGTGCAAAAGAGATCCTCTTTCTCCACATCCTCACCAACATCTGTTGTTGCCTGAGTTGTTAATTTTAGCCATTCGGACAGGCGTGAGGTGGTATCTCGTTGTGGTTTTGATTTGTATTTCCCTCATGCTGAGTGATGTTTAGCATCTTTGCATGTGTCTGTTATC